ACCCCTCTCTCTTTGGCCACCGAGCAATGGCGAGAACCAGCAGTACTTAGCACCACTGACCGAGAGGCCGTTTGGAGGGAGAAGGACTTGCACGGTAGGTTCTACAAGGCGCTACACGAGCGTCACGTGGATCCGAGAGCCTCCGTGCATTGGCTGCGCTTCGGGGACCTCTTTGGGGAAACCGAAAGTTTTGTCTGTGCAATACAGGACCAGGTCATTATGACCCGAAACTACCGGAAGTATATCCTGAAGGATGAGACAGAGGACGTTTGTAGAGCCTGTCACCAGCCCGGTGAGTCACTCAGGCATATTACTTCCGGTTGTCCTGTACTGGCTAATACCGAGTATTTGCACAGACATGACCAAGCAGCCAAAATACTCCATCTCGAGCTAGCCTTCAAATACGGCCTCATAGGCGAAAAGGTGCCGTACTATAAGTATGTGCCGGAGCCAGTTCTTGAAAACGACCGCGCTCGATTGTACTGGGACCGGTCCGTCATTACGGAGAGGACTGTTCCTGCGAACAAGCCTGATATCGTACTGATGGACCGGGCGGAATCTCGGGTGCTCTTAGTGGATGTCACCGTCCCATTCGATGAAAACTCGTGAAAGCCGTATCAGATAAAAAACTTAAATATCTGAACCTGGCGCACGAGGTTACCGATATGTGGCGAGTGTCATCCACTGAGATTATCCCAGTCGTAGTGTCAAGGAATGGCCTAGTCCCAACTTCTCTTCACGACCATCTGAAGAGGTTGGGACTCCGTGACGGACCAATGATTGCGAGGCTCCAGCGGGCGATCTTGCTCGATAACGCAAGGATCGTCCGCCGTTTTCTCTCTTTGTCGCCCTGACCCCCGGCCGTCTGGCCCCCTCTGCCGGGGGGAATCCTCCCACCCCTCGAATCGTCGAGGGGTCGGGAAGAGTAAATTTTTAAATACAAAAATAATAATAACTTCATTTCCAATAACATGACAATATTCTTTGAGCCCTGTCTCCCATACTATATAATGGGACTGTATAATGGGAGCCAGTGCCTTCCTAATTACTGTTACAATTCAATATTGGAGGTGGTCTACCAGAATAATAAATACAGAAGGTTTTTATTAACATAAGTTAGCCAAAATGTTTTACCAAAACCAAGAAGTATTTGAAACAAGTGTCATATACATATTAAACACCTATGAGCCAAAAAAAATGCATATATATTAAAACAAAATAGTATTATTACTTTATGTTTTCCCTTATTATTTAATTATTTCATTGCTACAACAAATTTCAAATAAGTTTCTCACACATATCATAATCCATCGTGTTTAACCATTCTTTTAACATTGTTTTTATTTTATAGTTGGACGTTGTGACTATATTTGGCATATGATTGATTATTGCATTATAAAAACGTGGTGCAAGACTGTTAAAGTTTCTTTTGGCAAATGAACTTTTAACTGTTTGAAGAGGGAATTTGATCTTTCGTCTATGACCTCTTGGTGCAAGATTAATTTTCGGAGCAACCGATCTATGATATAAACGTTAGCAATTGTATATGAACATTTTACGAACCGATAGTACATCGGCGTGCTCATACACCATTTTTGTAGGATAACGATAAGGAAGTGACAACATCACCTTTATGACGGCTCTTTGTGCTCTTTCTAGTTCAATCAAATGGTTTTTGGCTGTGCCACCCCAAGAACATATGCAATATTCTATAAGACACTGACAGAGAGCTTTATAGGGTTGTATTAGTAGATCTTTATTAGCAACATTCCTCAGATTTCTAAAAATAAAAATAAGTTTTCTAATTTTCTTTGACACGTAAGTTATATGTGCATTCCATCTCAAATGTTCGTCGACTATCACCCCAAGATACTTAATATTATTAACTTGTTTCAGAAAGGGGCAGCTACATTGTAATTTAAAGTCAGTTTGTTTATTACAGGGAAATATGTAAAGTGCAATGTTAAAATTTGTAACTGGTCTGGATACATTTGTTTTAGTAAAACACATATATTTTGTTTTTTCCGTATTGAAGGTCAGTAGACTGCTTTCTAGCCAGGAAGTAATTCTGCTCAAACCTGCTTCTGTTTTAGTCTTTAAGTTTTCCCAATTTGTAGCTTTAAAAAGTATGACAGTATCATCTGCAAACATAAAGAGCTCCATATCACCATATTTCATTGTGCAGAGATTATTAATATAGGCCAGAAATAGGGTGGGGCCAAAAGTACTCCCTTGCGGGACTCCATACGAGCAATAAGCAGTATCACTGACGTTGTTATCTACACGAACTCTTTGATTTCTTCCTGAAAGATAACTTTCAAACCATTTGAGTTGTATACCTCTGATCCCCAAACTTTCAAGTCGTGCAAGAAGTACCGGTATACTAACGGTATCAAATGCTTTTTGCAGGTCTAAAAATACTCCTATGCATTTAGATCCACTGTCTAGATAAGAGCAGATCTTGTTAGTTAGATCCAGTACTGCATCGCTAGTAGATCTTTTAGCACGAAAACCATATTGATTTGAAGCTAAAAGTTTGTTGTTCTCTAAATATTTTATCAAGCGCTTGTTCACAATGTTTTCAACGATCTTAGATATAGAAGAGAGAAGTGAAATTGGTCTGTAGTTAGAGGGAACAGATTTATCACCTGACTTATGTATGGGACTAACGATAGCCTGCTTTAAACATTCTGGAAATACTCCTGTATCCAAACTAAGATTACATAAAAAGGCTATTGGTTCAGATATAACGTCCTTTAATCTTTTGACAGAATATGTTGAAATAAGGTCACCCCCAGAAGCACAGTCTGGTCGAAAACCGTCAATCACTCGCCTAACCTCATCTGAATCAGTTGGCAAAAAAGACATCGAGTAACATGTGCTTTTTGTTCGTGCTATTTTCGCTAAGTCTGAGTCTGATTTATTATTCCTGTTTAATATGGTTTCCGCCAACTTGCTTCCCACTGTTGTAAAGTAATCATTCACAGCATTCAATGATTTTTTAGGGGTATCAGATATGTTTAGTAATTCGGCAGCAGTTGTTTGACTTTGGTTTATGTGACACACTTCTTTTATTAGTTTCCAAGTATTTTTTGCGTTACCATGGTTGAGTTTTAACTTTTCTTGATAGTACTGTTTTCTTAGCGCTTTAATAATATTGTTGCATGTATTTCTATATCTTGTATATTCTATTTTTAACTGTGGGTCATTTAATGATTTTTTTAGGTTTTTATGAAATTTATTCCTTTTTCTAATAACTTTTATAACACCGGGTGTAATCCACGGTTTCAGTGGTCTATTTCTATTTGATATTTTTATAGTTTTACTATTATTTTTTATTGTATCATGAAGCTTTTCAATAAAATAACTTGTTGCTAAATTGATATCTTTAAAATTAAATAATGCTGTCCAACTATCTTGTTTAATGCGTTTTATTATTTTGTCATAGTCTACTATGCTTTTTTGGATGCACTTATTTTTATTTTTGTTATTGATTCTGTCACAACTCATCTGTAAGACTACTGGACAGTGGTCAGTAAACTGATCTAGTACATAGGTTTTTGCTAAATTTGTACTCTTCACCATAAAATGATCCAAACAATTATTATACCTTGTCGGTAGATCTACACATTGTCGAAATCCATGTGTCGCAAATAAGTTGACATACTCCGTTGAGTACGCTGTCTCATGACCTGGTAGTATATCTATATTGATATCACCAGTGAAAATTATATTAGGCGCTTTGCAACTAGTTAAGATGATATCTATGGTATCCAAATACTTTTCAGTATTATGAAAACAGGGGGGTCTATATGAACATATTATTTGATAATAGTCGTTCATAAGTGATAAGATTAAAAAGTTACCTTCACTGCTAACTGGTTCGCAACTGACAACTTGTAAATTGTTTCTTACGTATGCTATCACACCATCATTTTGATTGATGTATTGCTTTGTATTAAATGTATTATAATTTGTTAGAGATGGTATGGATGAGAACTCATTTAACCAGCATTCAGTCAGTACAATTACATCACAATCGAGATTCAATTTTGTTAAATAGACCAGAAATGAGTCCAAATTACAGTTTACACTTCGTATATTTACAGTTATAACAGATAAAGATTTGGATTGATTGTTTTGTAGCAAAGCCATATTTTTATTATCAAAATAACTTATTTTTGTACAGTTAGGATTAAGGGAAGAGTCGATATCATCTGCTAAAGTTAGATCATTAGGATGCATTTTTAATATATAGGATTAGTAAAAAATTAAAATCATTGATTTTATTTGCTTGTAAAGTTTTTAGATATATTTTATAATGTAGCTGAGACATGTCAGGAAATACAACGTCCAACTTGATAAGCTTTTTGTAAAGGAATATAATTACTGTCAATTGCAGAATATATAATTTGTTGTAGCTATGTATGTAATATAAACAAGATTGAATGATATGGCCACAGGCGATAATATATTTTACTTCATTTATATATATAACAACGCTAAATATTTTATATAAAACAAGATAAATTATCATAAAGTAGTACAAAAATTTATCAGAAACAGGCTTGCGTAGTCATTTTTCCTTTTCTAATTTTGCCAAATCTAGGTTTGATTGAATTCTAATAAGAGGAGAGCCATCATCATGACGCAGGTATACTCTTCCAAATGAAGTCCAACAGTATTTGTATTTATGAGTTTTTTTAAACTCTCTGGCTAAATAAAAAAGATGTTTATTCTTTGTTGATAAATTTTCAGATACAAATATCTGTAACTTCGGGCCATCAATTTTCAAGTGACGTGTACTGAGTAAACCACCGTCATTTTGTCTCTTGTTAAATTGTCTTAATCCACTCAGAAACCTTTCTTTCATTATAATATATGTAAATTCGACTATTAAGGTATTGTTTGAGGGTTTAGAATTTAAACGGAATACGTCTTTGATGTCTGGGGGTGAGATTGGTACATTTAGAATGTTTCCCAATTTTGTAACAATTTCACATAAATGTTGTTTATTTTCCTGATTTTTCTTAGGTATATTTCAAATTTCTAAGCTGCCAGATCGTAATTGTTGCTCCAAATATTCTACTTTTCCTTCTAATTGTTGTAATATAATTACTATCCTCTTTCCTGTCATCTTCTATTTTTTTCAGCTTAGTCATTACTTCCTCATACTTCGCCGCGACAAATTTTACACTTTCCTGTAGCCTTAGGTTTTGAGATTTAAGTTCCTCCATTGTACTTTGCATATTGGCATAATTTTCTTGTTGGTGTTCTTTCAGATCTTGGAACAATTTAAAAAGCCTTTGTTGAAAATCACTGAAATCCGATTTCTCATTAGATTGTTCGCGTTTTCTCTTAATACGACTCGTAATCTGCGAAAACATCGACTCATCATCCAGCCGTTCACTAATGTTAGGGTCCGAAGCATAATGCGTTAAATCTGTATTAGGCGGAGTGCGGTCCACTGGCATATTAAATACAAACAATAATTTCAAGTAAAGAAAATTGAAATGTCTTTTCACTCGTTGTAAATAAAATTAGTAGTGGGTAGTAACTGAGGCAACGAAATATACAGCTCAGCTTATTCTGGTAGCAATCGAACGATTCGTACAATTTATCTTTCCGTCCACTCAATGTAGACCTGTGTATTGTTTGAATGTCCCAAGTAGGTAGCAATATTAAACTATGCGCAAGCGCACACTGCGTGTATCTATCGCACTCACTCCAAGCCGCCACACCACACCGTTGAGTTTGTTATTCTGCTCGCACCACTGATAGTAGCTAGTTATGTTACCCCCTCGCCCTTCTGTATTAGACTAAAGGGGGTTTAGTCAGCACCCTGGATACAATTCCTGTGAATACGTGGGCGTCGCTGTCTGGCCCTCTTGAACAGTTTTTATTAAGAATAAATCATTCTTTTGCTAGCCTCCAAATCGGCAGCACCTAGTATTAAGGCTTAGATTTAATTTTCTGTATTTTTATATTTTTTAAAAAATAAAGTTTGAGCTCCCAAAACTTGACTGGCGCAGCCGGTAGGATTCGCTTAAGGCTGCGTCGCTTTTTCATTAAAATACGGGTGTCCAAATTCGCCTGTTTAAGTAATCGCGACGCGAATAGCACGAGTGAATCCTCGAACAAACAAATTTGTCAAGAACGGGTTCCGGAAAAGCTGAATATGGGGCTGATCGGTTGGTGAGTAAAACTTTTCGCCTTCCTTTTACATTTCCCTGTGTTTTCATATTTCCTCGTTACTCTCGAAATAAAACTCTTTCGTGGAAAAACGTTTCTGGTATTGTGTTAAGTGTTAAGAAATCTATTTAAATATATATATATATAAAAAAAAATCGAATTACATGTTATACAAAATAAATAAAATTTTGAAACAAAACTATTACTTATAAAGAATTTATACAAAACTATTACTTTACAATTTAGTATTTTAAAGAATTATAACTGTTATTTCATTTTCGTGTTATTAAATTATAATTTAAGGAATTAAATCTATTTGTGTTATAATTATTGTGTGTGTTTTTCTCTAAATCTGCTAATTTATAGTAAATAAAATGCCCGAAGAAAATCCAATTATTGCTATTCCAAATGAAATATTACGCCTTATTCCACTTTACGGGGGCGATAAAAGACAATTGAATTTATTTTTACGAAAAAGTGAATATGTAATTAGCAGGTATAGAGGTTCAGAGGAACAAAATTTATACGTGTATCACGCCGTAACCAGCCGGCTCATAGATAACGCAGCTGCGCTCTTATCGGAACGGGAGGATGTTTTGTCTTGGTCCGAATTGCGAGCGCTATTGGAACAACATTTTGGGGATCCGCGTAGTGAACAAAGTATTAGTATTGAACTCGAATCATTAAAATTAAAAAATGGTGAAACTTATTTAGAATTTTGTAATAGAATTCAAAGCGTTAGATCGCTCTTAATATCAAAAGTAAATTTATTATCAGACGAAAATTTGAAAAGTGCAAAACACACTATTTATAATAACCTGTCGTTAAAAGTTTTTCTTTATAACTTACCTGAGGAAATGGTCCGTATTGTGCGACTACGTTCACCTGAAACTTTAGAAGACGCCTTAAAGGTCGTATTAGAAGAAGTCAATTTCCATGATCAATATAAAATGCGTAACCGAATTCATGGCACTAATAATATTTCTAAGCCAGAAAATCAAGGATTTAGATTCAACAATTTTCCACAAAATTCTCATATAAACCCCGGATTTAAATTTATGTCACCATCACCTTTCTATAATAATACAAAATTTAAATTCGGTATTCCACCTCAATTCGGTCAAGCAAGTTTTGGTTACCGTCCACAGTTAGGCAATCAGCCTTTGCAAACTAATTATAAAGCTTTTAACCAAGCCGTTCGTCAACAATTTGGATATAGACCAAAATTTGGTAATAACCAGTTCGGCTATAGGCCTAATTTTACAATGACACCACAACAGTTTGGAAATAGGCAAAATACAGCAATAAATCAGCAACAGTTTGGTTACCGTCCGCCGATAGGTAATAATCAACAATTCGGCTACAGACCCCCTCAAATACAGAGTCCGCGTTATCAATCCACCGACATTTCAATGAGAACAGTTCCCCCTAAACCACAAGAAGGTTTTAAAATAAATGAAATAAATTTAAATAATAATGACGAATATGAACAATATATTAACTTTAACTGTGACAACGATGATACATACAACGAGACATACTGTGACCCCATTGACTGTGACAACTATATGCAACAACAGTTTAATGATGAAATAGTTACAGAACAAGATGTCGCTCAATCTATGGAAAATTTTCCCATAGCCGCCTCAAAGGATACGAAATCATAGAATTGAATTGCGATCCAAATTTAAAACTACCTTATATTTTTATTCCTGAAATTAATGCAAAAATTATGATCGATACGGGAAGCGCGAGATCATTTTTAAGTCCTCAGATAGCATATAACTTTTTCTATGAAAATATTAAACACGAACCATTTGAAGTAGTAAGCACGCATGCATCCAGTAGACATAATGAAGTAATCACAATTCCACTTTTACCTACATTTAAAAGTAATGATTTCCACAAATTTTATTTATATGATGTGGACTCGAGATACGACGGTCTTATTGGAAACGATTTGTTACAGAACTTAGACGCAGTAATAGATCTGAAAAACCTTACGTTAAAGACAAAGACCACAAACATACCTATAATCAATAACTTAAATTATACCCTTCAGTTACCATCACGTTGTGAACAACGCGTTAAGTTGCCTATAGATCAATATTCTGGACAAGCTATTTTAAACTTCACACAATTTAGTTCAGATGTAAGAATGCCTAGTGCATTGGTAAATTGTAAAAAGGGATATGCATGTACAGTCATACAAAATACCTCCGACAAAAATTTTGAACTGACTTTGACCAAACCATTGACAGTGACTAATTATGAGAATACAAATTGTGAAGTAAATTTTATAGACAACTCAGACTATAACAACAGACAGCAAATACAAACTGACAAATTACTTGAGGAAAATTTACAAAAACTTAGATTGGACCATGTTAACGACGACGAACGAAATAAAATTTATCAATTATGTAAAGAGTATAAGGACATATTTCACTGTGATCAACTACCATTGACATTTACAAATCAGGTTAAACATAGAATCCGAACAAAAAATGAAGACCCTATTTACGTTAAACCATATAGACAATCCCCCGCACAAGCAAACGAAATTAACAAACAAGTTCAAAAGTACTTAGCTGATAATATTATAAGGGAATCCCATTCACCATGGAACGCTCCAGTGCATCTAGTACCAAAAAAAATGGATGCTTCTGGAGAAGTTAAATATCGAATGGTTATTGACTACAGACGACTCAACGACATAACAATTGATGATAAGTACCCATTGCCTAATATTAACGACTTATTGGACAAGTTAGGGAAAAGCGTTTACTTCAGCACGATTGATTTAGCTAGTGGGTACCATCAAATTGAGGTAGAGGAACAAGACAGACAAAAAACAGCTTTCACTGCAAATGGGCATTATGAATTTATTAGAATGCCATTTGGACTGAAGACTGCACCTGCGACTTTTCAAAGGACAATGGACAACGTACTGAGAGGTTTACAAGGACTACATTGTATGGTGTACCTTGATGACGTAATAGTATTTTCACCCAGCTTAGAAGAACACTTAAACAAACTCAGACTTGTATTTGACAGACTTAGAACTACTAACTTGAAGGTCCAATTAGACAAGACAGAATTCTTAAGGAAAGAAGTACTTTACCTAGGACATGTAATAACAGAGCATGGATTAAGACCAAACGATGACAAGATAAATGCAGTACTAAAATTCCCTTTACCAAAAACTACAACAGACATTAAAAGTTTCTTAGGACTCGTTGGTTATTATCGACGTTTTATCCCAGATTTTGCAAAAATAACGAAACCCTTGACTACATGTTTAAAAAAGCGAAACAAAATTATTATCAATCAGGAATATATAGATGCCTTCCATAAGTGTAAAGAACTCTTAACGCATGCCCCTTTACTACAGTACCCTGATTATGACAAACCGTTCATACTTACTACAGATGCATCTAATGTGGCCTTAGGTGCAGTGTTATCACAAGGAACTATAGGTAACGACAAACCGGTCGCTTACGCTAGCCGTACCTTAAGTGACACCGAAGCGCGGTACAGCACAATAGAACGCGAATTGCTTGCAATCATTTGGTCAATAAAACACTTCCGGCCGTATCTATACGGACGTAAATTCTTTATATATACCGACCACCGTCCGTTAGCTTGGCTCAATAATTTGAAAGATCCTAATAGTAAACTCACGCGATGGAGGCTACGCTTACAAGATTACAACTTCGAAATTATATACAAATCTGGAAAACAAAACACGAATGCTGACGCTTTATCTAGAGTTAGAGTCAATGCAATAGATACAGATGATGACGGGCAGTCAATGCAGGTAAACGTAGATGAGGACGAAGAAAGATTGCAGGAACATATTAATGATGTCGTTAAAGATATACAAAAACTTTCAAAATTACAAAAACGTGGTTCGTCTTCTACAATGTCTATTTCAGATTTAAGTAAAACAACATCTGCTAGTCCAATAACAATATCAGATTCAGCTTCTGAGAAAAATTTAGAGTATCCTGTTGGATCACCGTCCGAAGCTAGCACTAAATCACAGACTATACATTCAGCAATAGATTTAGAATCATCAGGAATACCCATTTTACACGAAGCAATAGACACAAAACCAAACCAAATCTTAGTGTTTTCTTGGTTTAAAAATGAATTAAATGTCAAAGATATTTCCAGAAAGAAGCAAAAAATATTAGAGGTATTCATGCCTACAGATAATTTAGAATAAATTAAAACTTTTCTAAAAGAATATATTCGACCAAAACTTAAATATTTCGTCTATTTTGAAGAACAAAAACATCGTGCACAATTTAGTAAAGTAATAATAGAATTATTTAAAAAAGATATAGTAAAGTTTTATGAATGTACAGAACGAATAGTATACATCGAAGATGAGGGTGAGCTAAGGGCAGTAGTATTAAAACATCACGAAGGAAA